GCCACCCTGGGGGTGAGTGTGGCGGGGTGGGGGGTGGCGCGGGCCCACCCCGGGCTGGGGGCGGGGCGTGCGCCCCGCGGGCTGTGGGCCCCGGGAACCCCCCGAAATCACCGGTGCGTGGCGGGAGGAGGGCATGCTCCGAAAGGCCAGAAGATTCCGCTGGTTTCCCCGCCTCCCACCTCCCCCACCCCTTCCCTTCCGAGCCCGGGCAAAGGCGCAGAACCCAGAGTTATAAAAAGCCATCGCCGGGAGGAGCGAGGAGGAGGAGCGGGAGGAGGGGGAGGAGGAGAAAGAGAGAGGAGGAGGGGCAGGAGGGGAGCACGGAGCAGGCAGATCCCGAGGACTCCGCGCCCCTCCTGCGCTGGGGGGGGGGCACAAGGAGGTGCAGACCCCGCTGCCTTGGCTCCTTTGACCCTCACCTGGTCTCGGGAGCGACCTCAGGTCCTGGTGCTGTGAGGAGTGGGGTCGCCCCAGGACAGGGCAGCCTGGTGGCCTCCGACAGGTGGGCATCTGGTAGCCGCCAAAGTCCCCACTCGGCCCAAAATCTTTTAAGATTTAGAAAAAGCAAGCCCAATACCATCGCTATGCTCCCACCCAAAATCTTGACTGTCTTGGGGTGGGAGGAGATGAGAACTCACTAAAGACAGACAGAAAGAAAGTTCCCGCTGCCTCTCCCCTGCCTCCCCACTGCGGGGCCAGGTTGGGCTCTCCATCCCGAGACCCGCAGAGCAGGGAGTTTCAGCACTCGACGGGACGGACAGCGCCCCGGGCGGCCGGATTGCGCCAGGGCGGGGGTGGGGCTTCCTGGGAGCCTCCTGGGGGCCTCTCCCGCCTGGAGGGCCACCCCTCCCTTCGTCCTGGGGTGGGGCTGACTTCAGCACCGGCGGGAGGAACAGCGGCCATCCGTCCTCCCCCCCCCCCCCCACCCCCGCCCCCCAACTCCCCTGAGCCGCTTAAGCCTTGGGAAGGTCAAGGCCGGTGGGGGACCCTGAGGGAGGGGCCTGGCAGTACGGTTCGCTGACCGGTGTCCGCTTTCGCTTTCTGCCTCGCAGCCGTCGGGATGGAGGTGAGACGGTAGCCGTGACGCCCGCCCTCGCGCACCCCTGCACCGCAGCCGCCTGCAGAGCTCCCCGCCCCCCGCCCCCGCGGCAGCGGGCCTTGCCGTCGAGTGACAGCGGCCTGGGGGGGCAGGGGGGGCGGGGGCGGCCAGACCAGCGATGCCGGCGGGCATGACGAAGCATGGCTCGCGCTCCACCAGCTCGCTGCCGCCGGAGCCCATGGAGATCGTGCGCAGCAAGGCGTGCTCGCGCCGGGTGCGCCTCAACGTCGGGGGCCTGGCGCACGAGGTGCTGTGGCGCACTCTGGACCGCCTGCCCCGCACGCGGCTGGGCAAGCTCCGGGACTGCAACACGCACGACTCTCTGCTCCAGGTGTGCGACGACTACAGCCTCGAGGACAACGAGTACTTCTTCGACCGCCACCCTGGCGCCTTCACCTCCATTCTCAACTTCTACCGCACCGGCCGGCTGCACATGATGGAGGAGATGTGCGCGCTGAGTTTCAGCCAGGAGCTGGACTATTGGGGCATCGATGAGATCTACCTGGAGTCCTGCTGCCAGGCCCGCTACCACCAAAAGAAGGAGCAGATGAACGAGGAGCTGAAACGCGAGGCCGAGACGCTGCGGGAGCGGGAGGGCGAGGAGTTCGACAACACGTGCTGTGCTGAGAAGAGGAAGAAACTCTGGGACCTCCTGGAGAAGCCCAACTCGTCCGTGGCCGCCAAGGTGAGTCTGGAGTCTGTTCTCCCTCATGGAGGCCTACACTGCGGCTCCTGGCTCCTCGCGTTGAGTATACCGGTAAAAGGCAGGGACTCCAAGCGAGTTCTCTAAGGACCATTGCCCTTGCATCCTTCCCATGCGATTCAATGCTGTGTACCCCTACTTTGTTGGGGGGAAATGGTTTATATAACTCTAAAATGCTACAGCCTTGGTGAGAGCAGAGTGGAGCTTTGCTGGATAGTCTTGGTGTCCTGCCCTCCAGGCCTAGATCCATGCTGGAGTAGCTAGCCCTGCAGATGTAGCATCTAGCCCTGTGTTATAACCCCACTCTGCCCATAAGAAAGGGTATACACGCAGCCTATTGACACGCCTGGCAGAGGCTGGGGCACCTACAGGTATTTTTAAGAGATGACAAAAGATAGGGAAGGTTAGTAGCAAGAACAGGCTTGCCCAAAGGCTCAGGACTGTGGCCAGGCTGGCTCTGTGGTAATGTGCTTGCTGTGTGGTGCAGTTTGCACTTGGCTGTTAGTGGAGGATGTAAATTTCCAAATCAGAGCAGAAAAATAGGCATGGGGAAGGAGGCAGGGGTGAACTCATTCACACAGGGTGGGCTGCTGGGCGAAGGTGGAAGTCTTGAGGACCAGCAGAGGCTTGGGGTGAGGACCAGGGCAGGTGCAATTCCTCTGAGTCAGGCTGGTACCTCAGCGTGTCTGGAGGGTGAGGCCTGCCTCACGTGGCCTGTGTACTCAGTGCCAGGAATAAATGACAGCGCGGTGTGTTCAGGGCTTCATGGGAGGCTGGGAAGGGGGCCCAGAAAAGAGACGTGTGGGCATCCAGAGAGATCAAGTTCGGGAAGAGGCAAGATTATCTCTGAGAGCTGAGCCCAGGAAACGGGACCAGAGGCAAGCGACCAAGATGGCCTGTTCAGCCAGCCATAGTTTAGAAGCAAGGCCTGACTCTTGGCTAGCTTGGTCTCTCAGTGTGGAGTCTTGGTGGCTCAGCTGCCCCCTCAGTGGTCCCTTCTCTCAGGGGACTCTATGGAGTTATTTCCAGACAATCGACTTGCTCAAAAAGGCTGGAGCAGACATAGGAAGGGATGGTCTAAAGAGCCCACAATCATTTTCTCTTGTCTCTGGGCTTGGTCTCCTCCTGGAAGACTGAGACCATAATCCTTCCCCAGTTTCCGTGTCCAGAAAGCCTTCCTCTAAGACGAAAGGTACTCACCCTTAGCCGGCTTAGGATCAACAGACTTATTTTGCTATTTCTAGGCCTGACACAGGTTCCCCCGCTGCTCAGCCCATTGAGGCCCAGGTAGGCCCCTCCTTCCTCACCTGCCCTGTCCTTAAGACACTGGATCCAGGGACAGGAAGTGAGGATTTACCCTCCCCAAGAAGAAACGGGCAAAGGACTGTGTTTGGGTTGGCACCTGGCTTCAGGGCACAGGCGGTCGGCTTGCAAGAGGCAGTGTGTGGGAATAAACAGCCTTTCCTCCTCTTGCTCAGCTTAATCGGCTCACCCGGACAGCATCCTGACCTCGCTGTGATCCCAGGCTGGGCTGTCAGCTCACATTCTTGCAGATTCTGCCGTCAGAGCTGAACCAGGAAGGCGGTCCTGGCTCTCAGCATAGAAATGTCCACAGTTGCTGAGCAAATGCCTACCTAACACGTACAAGGCTCAGAGAGGCAAAGTAGCTTGTCTAAGGTCACGAAGCATGCAACTAGGAGTAGCCAGAAGTGTACCTCCCTGCGAGCAAGGTTTTGAACACGCTGTTCTTTCTGTTGGTGATTGAGGGCCACAGACATCTCCCTCCCCAGCGCCTTCTCTTGCTTTGCTTCCCACAATCCCTTTCCCAGCAGCCCAAGGTACAAGTCAGATTGCATTATTCATCTGTTTGAAACCCACAGAGGTTTCCATCACATCCAGCATGAAATCCACATGCCACTATGCATTTGAGATCTAGATTCTGGCCCTCAGAGCTCTCTGGGCTCATCTCTCCTGTTCTCTTCTGGTTCGTGTGGTCCCAGTCCCACTGGCTTCCTTACTGTTCCCAAACATATCAGGGTCTGTTCTACCCCAGGACCTTTCCACTTATTTTTCTGCTGCTTACAGTTGCCTTCCCCAGATCATCGTTCCCCATGGACACCTTCACTTCATGTCCCCATTTGCTACAGTTGCTACTAAACCGTTTACCCCTGGAGACCTCCTGGACTCCTGTGCCCTCCCTGAACCCTGTCACCCCGTGCAGTATCAGAGGTCATATGTGTTTCTGGTCTACGTGTTTCTGTTTTACACCCACAAGGATGTATCATATGCATTGCTGTGTTCCCAGCATGCGCCGTAATGCCTGGTTCAGAGGGCTCCATATAACCCTCTGTAGGGTGGATGGGTGAGTGGATTGCTGGGTGCATGGAGGGATGGAGGCGGATGTGTGTTTGGATGGATGCATGGGTGGATGCGTGGATGATGGATTGGTGGATGGATGGATGGGCGGATTGGTAGAAAAGCTGATAGGTGATAGATGGATGGATAGATGGGTGGGTGAATGAATGGGTAGATGGGTGGGTGGGTGGGTGGATAGGTGTGTGGATGGTTAGTGGATGGACGGATGGATGGATGAATGGGTTGGTAGATAAGTGGATGGGTGGTGGATGTATGGGTAGATGGGTAGATGGGTGGGTGGATGAGTGGGTAGATGGGTAGATAGGTGGGTTTATGGGCAGATGATCATTTGATGGACAGGAGGGTGGATGGACAGAAATATCCAAGGATTGGTAGATGTGTGGGTAAGTGAACGAGTGGATAGGTGGATGGATGGATGAGTGGGTGGAGAGACGGATAGATTGGTGAATGACTGATGGATGGATGAGTGGGTGGTGGATGGGTAGATATATCAAGGAAGCAATCAGGGATTGACTTTTTCAGGGTTCAGGAACCTGTCAGCCATTCTTCCTCACAGCCTCCTGTGCCTCAGTTCCTTGGACTTCTGGTCTCTCTGTCACCTGCACCTGCCCCACCCCATCCCACAATCTCCAAAGCGGAGCCTGTGAGCGCAGCGAGGCTGAGCACAGCGAGGCTCGCGGGTTCCTCAGAAACCACACAGGCCAAGTGCTATGTACCACTTCCGGGTGTTTGTGAGGATCGCAAATGGCTGCATCTTATATCTCCTGGAGAAAGGACAGACCAGGGCTGTGGAATCAGCCAACTCTTCACGTCTCCCTTCCCTGCCTCCCATCTGTAAGATGAAGACTGGGGGCCACTTTGCAGTGAGGTTGTGTTTATGGAAGCTTAACTTAGTGCTTAGCTTAGCACTAGTGAGAGGGTGCTGTTGTTATCAGTGCTAAGTTGCTATGTCCTTTCTCTGGGTGAGCTGGGGTCCTTTCTCTGGGCTGGGTGGGCAGCAGTCACTTCCTTTCTGACAGTGCCCTGGGAAGACTGAGCTGATGCAGTGAATAATTCATGGGCTGTTCTGACAAGTGAGGAACAGACCAAAGCCCAGGCCCTGGATTCTCCATCAGAGGAGATGAAATCAAAACCCAGTAGGTTGTTTGGGAGGTGGGGTTAGCCCTGGCAGGGAGGCAGTGCAGGCATGCCAGGACCTCCTCCGAGATTCTGCTCTCTGGGAACATTCTCAGGCCTCTCTCGATGTGATGTGGGGAGAGCTTTAAGTGTGAGACCCGAGTCTCCGGGTTTAAGCTCTGAGGCCGCTTCCAAATTGCCAGAGTATTTACTGTGCTGGGCACAGATCAGTGGTCTCTGGAGCTAGTGTGACCTAGACATTTCTTCTGCAGAGTTCCTGGGCAGTGGGGTGCCCATTAGTGCTTCTGTGGATCATAAATGACAAAGCAGAAATATCAGCTTCAAGCGGAGGGAGGGAGATGTGTTACTGCCCGTCCTGACATTGAGTCGATGGCTCAGTGATCTTATCAGGATTCTAGATTTTTTTTAAGTTGTTTTTTTTTTAATTACCCTTATTTGTTGCTTTGTATGTGTGTCTATATGGAGGTTGGAGGTTAGAGGTCAGAGGTCAATTCTTCCATCATTCAGATCATGTTCGGTGGAAAGGGTCCTTACCTGCTGAGTTATCTTGCTGGCCCCAAGTGTTGTTGCTTTAAACTGTATGTATTCTGTTATATTTGATTGTTACTTATCTATTTTGCATGTGTCTCTGTGCATGAAACAGCTCAGTTGTGGAAGGCAGAGGACACCTTGTGTTTCTTGCTTCTACAACGTAGGTGCTGGGAATTGAACCCAGGTCATCAGGTTTGGTGACAGTCAGTCTGCCAGCTGCACCATCTCACCATCCCAGATTCAAGATTCTTTCCATCTCTCTGCTTCTCTAGACCCTGAAAATGACTTGGTACCTGTGCTTGATGCCTGGTGTCAGGAGAGAGGACTGCCAGATCCAGCCCTCAAATGTAGACACGATGTCTACTCCACAAACAGTGGCATTTCTTCCTGTGTTCCATTGCACTCTCCTTCAAGAGAACCCCTCCCCCACCCAGAAGCACCCTTCCAGGTGTTCTTGATGTTGTTGGCCGTTGATCATGTGATCATGCTTTAGTGGCAAGGGAATCTGGGAAAGCAAGTGGCTGGTGTCATGGTCGAAGGCATGTGTTTGATGACTGAAAGCAAGACCCTTAACATCAGAGGAAGCAGGCTCTGGGAGGTGACACGCCTTCACCCAAGCCTTTGCTAAAAGGGTCAGTAACCATGTGTGAAGTGAGCAGAAATGGCGGAGTTGAGCATCTTAATTATTGTCCTACGGCTGTGACAAAACACTGACCAAGTCTAATTTTAAAAGAAAGCATTTAATTTGGGGCTTGCTTACAGTTTCAGAGGGTGAGTTCATGACCGTCATGGCGGGGAGCATGGTGGTAGGCAGGCAGACCAGCATAGCACTGGAGCGGTCGCTAAGATCTATTGGGCAAACGGGCTGGTGTGGGCTTTTGAAACCGCAGAATCCATCCTCAGTGGCACACCTTCTCCAAGAGACACACCTCCCAGTC